GGTTTTTCACAGAATAACCCTTTTTTCTCCAATATCAGCTGTTTTGTTAAGCACACACGCTCAGCTGCAAAGTCCAACTATCCCCTTGGGTACAGCAGTTGTCTTATGCAAGTCTGCATGTTTCTTTAGGATACAGGGAAAAATGTGGTCTCCTCCTTATTCAAATGAACTGGCTGAATGTTCTCATATTCTTAAGTTAGATAAGGAAGACACTGTTAAGTGAACAGAACACATCTCCAAACCAGGCAACTTTTCAAACAAGTTAATGATGTTCCACATGACATTACCAACAAATGTTACCTTTTAGTTTGAATGCTCTTTGGCTACTATACTTTTAGGTAGTAAACCCAAACAGGAACTGCAAAGGTTTGTGGCCTTGCAGATGAAGAACACCCTGACCAACCCATCCTGATTGATAAGTGTTTGGGAATTTATCTGCTTATTTGCTTCCTTTCGCCTAAGACTAAAGTGATTGGTCTTAAGGGGACAACCTTTCTCCCTCTGTATTCAAGGAATGTGTTCTCACCTTGATGTTCATTTCACTATGTTTTGCTCTATTTAGACTGTGGCTTTGAGTCATGCTTCCAAAGTTCAAGATAGTTTTCCAATGAGCCCTTCAGAAACTTGCTTTCAACCCAGTTTTGGCAGTCATCTCTCATCACATATTTCATTTGTTACTTTGGAAGTAAGTCCCCATCCAAAACAGTCCAAGAGCAAAGAAGAGGAACAGCCTCCAAATATGGTGAGAGCTAAGCTGGTTTCTGGAGTAGTTTAGCACATCGACGTGCGTAAGAATGAGGAGAACTGGAACAAGTTTTAACTAATGCTCTAAATAGACTGTGGTTAATTGTTCAGAACTTAAAAACTACATAGAAAATCCTGACACAGATAAAAGAATAGCTAAGACCCCGTTAGTAAATATAACCCTGTCATGATCAACTCCAGCAAGAAAATGCTGCTACAACTGTCTCAAATCATGTCTGATGAAACAAAGGTTAAGCACTAGTCCTTAATTTAGTATTTGGTTTATAAAGAGCTAGCAAAGTTTATACTGTCACACACAAAGGAGTTTTCCAAGGCAATTATACTGGACAGATGTAATAAAAATACTTGCCAGAAAAAATATTCTGCAGTATCTACCAACAGAATCTTAATTCAAATCACACAATTCTTTTGCTTTATTTAGGATTATTCTATTTCTCCCCACTGCTGCCGGATGTTTCTTTCGTTTAGTCTCATTAAGTTAAAATTCACACTCTTTCACAGTATTCTGTGTGTGGGTTATGAAGAGGTCAATTAGAAGAACATCTCAAATGGCAGTTAACATTAATCAAGTGAACTGTTAAATCTATTATAACCAGTAATAATCTGGCCCTTAACAATAGAGTTATTTATACAAGTTTTTAACTATAAGAAAATAGGGTATTTTCTGTATCTGACCCTGGAAACACATAAGCCTGGTATTTGTAGAATCATAGAATATATTCAATATACTTCACACACACCAAGAAGCCAAGATCACAGCTCAAAAAGTATCACCTTTTTCCTGGGTCTGACAGAGCAGTACCTAGCACCTGCTGTAAACTGATTCCTATTCTCTTGTCCTCTGGTTTATAAAGAAATAAAGCAAATTTGATGCTAGCCTGTTGGATAACGGAGTGCCTGAGGCTATGTACCCACGTCTAATGGCCCTGCAGTTCAACAGAAAGCTTTGTATAATTTTTTAGGAAAACCTTAATTCTCCCAGAGCTCATTTTTAACTTCTGTAACACAAAAAGAGGATGTCAGATCCTTTGGCTCTGTATACTTTGGAAAAGAACAATTTGGAATCTCACAGTATCACCTTACAACTTAAAATATGGAACTGGGGTAGCTTTTGAATCACAACTATAAAATATTGGCGCACATATCTATAATGAAATTAAAACTATAAATTGCATGAACACTTTCAATTGTTTCTTGTTATACGCATTTAATGATCTAGATTAAAATAGCACATAAGAACACCTTTAAAACAGTGTATTGAAAAAAGCTTATCCAAATGCAGTTGCTATGCAAAAGGCCAGACTTTCCTTTTAAAAAACCAGGACATTTTGCATGTGTGCTTCAGTGTTCCTTAAAAACAACTACTAAGTAATCTACAATTAGCAAAATATAAGCATATTTAAGCTATGAATTATAAGCTAATGAAATAAGCTGCTTTACTAGGGAAAACATTTTGTTAGGAAATAGAAAATACTCATAGCTGGAGAGTCAGCAGCTGTTTTTAAAGGATGCCATTAAGCTGCCATTATTTTGACAAAGCTCTGGCCTCAAACAGGCAAATTTTCTTAATGCATTGTATAAATCCTTGACAAATTACATAATATTCATTAAATTTAAATGGAGACCCTTGATGTCTCCTGTAAAGATGTCCCAGGGAGTCAATTTTCAGGAAATTCATAATGTAAGCAGCAAGTTATCGGAGAAGGGAGACATTCATCACCTAAGAAGGCCCCGAATGAATCATTTAGAGGAGGTGATATGACACATTTTGGTGGTTTATTTGTTAGACTCCATGAGACCTGGAGCCAGACACATCCCTCAAGTAACCACAGAGGCAGTCTGGCCAGCCACGTGTTGCGTACACTGAATTTCCTAAGCCACTTCCTATCTTCCATAGGAAAGTGGTTTGTTTAGTCCCTGAAGTTAAAACTAATGTCTAAGAGACTAAAAAAGCAGAGGTGACACCTGGCCAAAGCAACGTGGCGCTGCCTCACATCTAACCCCTCAGGAGCCAATCCTTCCATTAAACTCTCACTTCTGGGGAGGTTTTCACCCTGGCACTGATCTTGCTAGTGAAGGATGCTGTGTTAACTGGTCCCTGTTACAGAAAGAACCTGCTGGGCAAACAGATATTTTAAAATCTGAATCCTAGCCCTACTAACTTTTTCTTGGTGGTTTTCCCAGCAGTGGAATCTCTCCAGCCCTGCTTCCACTAACCCCCTCTATATCACACAGCAGATAATATTTAGGCTGAAAGAAAAGACCACCCCATGAAATTCTGCCTCCTTTTTAATATTTGGATTTAAATGTTGCATGTCCTTAAAAACCTTTTAAAACTGCTTACTTTGAAAGTACAAACATGTCAGTGTTTAGCCACGGAGGGCACTTTCCTATCCTAAATCATCATCTATTTATCAAAGACGGATCTACATTGCTAAATGCTGTAAAATGAATAATAAATAATAATTTTATAAATAGTTTGCATTAATCCCCATGTAATAGCCATTGGCTTCCAGCACTGAATATACTGCTACTATATATAACCATTATACATACAATGCCACAAGGTTTTCAAATGGGCTGCGCTTAGCGTGGTAGCCGCCTATGTTTACCTATGAAGTAGTACAGACAAGAGAAACCAGCTTCCTTGAGCAGATAGTCTTATTCCTTTCTCTCGTAAAATGACATTATTACAAAATAATCCAATGTTTAATTTATTAATGCAGAATAAAAGACAGGATTTCTTTTTCATCATCATTATTTATAACTTTACTAATGTGCCCAGTATGACACAAAAGGGCAATGTATCCCAAGTGAGCTGCAGCCAGAGCTTGCACAACACTCCCATAAAAACAAATTAAGAAAATATGGAAATGAAATCCTGATTTTTACTCTGTATGGCTCCATAAAGAATTAACTTTAATAAATTCAACTGCAGAATGGTCCTTAATGATGCCCCTAGTTTAAATCTAAGTATTTCAATAGCTCTTTAACTGATAAACTATATTCAAAATATTCTTGGAAACCTTTATTAGGAGGTTGAGATATTAAATATGAAAACTCAAAACCCAACTCCACACAGGGAAAACTGGAAGCTGTTTAATCAAGCTGGTTTCTTACCCTGTCAATAGAATTAGGGCTGGTATCAACTAACAAACATTATGCCTCTGAGGTAGGGAAATTGCACTGGCTTCATTTTCAAATGGGCATAGGAATGAGATTAGTTACCAGATGTGAATTACAGATGGGAACTGGTATTTAATAGGTAGCATGGTGCTTTCAGAAATCCTCATTCCTCATGTACTCACCCAACAGAACAGTCCCCAAATCAGTGAGACATGGGTGGAACAGCTGATGGAGACCTGCATGACAAAGTGCGTGTAAGTATATATACATCTCAAAAATTCCCTCCTATTTCCCATAACCACTGTATTTCATGGATACCTCCAAGAGAGGAACCCTTTCTAAACCTAGCCCATAGCTGTACAAAGGACCTAGTCATGAAGCAAGCTAACTGCAAGGAAAGGAATCTCATCCCAGTGAAAAGCAAGCCTCCAAGTTACTGGGTGAACTAACAACATTCTTCTGATCCAGGACCAGTCTTCGTATCTCCATAGGATCCAGAAAACCTGTCATTGTCAAGGGACAGACTTTGCTGGATTGCTGCCTCAAGGAAGAGGAAAAGAGGATAAAAAAACCTTTTTTTTTCCTTGAGAAAAGGGAAAAAGTTGCAGGGACACTGAAAAACTAGCTATGGGACAGGGAAGTGGGGGACAATGCTCCAGTTTTCTGCCATTCTAGCTGGGGTTTATTCTGTCAAGCCTGAAGAGAAATATGTGTCATGTTTGCCCTATCCAAATTTGCACACAGTTTGTCCTCATGCTAAATGCAGTTCTGGTCTGCAGTGCCAAAGATCTCCCAGTACTATTTATACAACCACATAATCAGAGGAATGGTGTGCATTTATAGGGACTGCAGCTGCCATATAAAACCAAACATACTTAAGAAAACATGCTTTTTTTTCCCACTAATTACAAGTTTTGACACTACTGAAGAGATTTCCCTTAATGGCTACCTTGCAAACATATTACGATATTGCTTTAGAACTGTCCTTAAGGAAATACACCTCTCTGGTCTCGGAGTCTTAACAGCACAGCTCCTACAAACACATCCTTAAGCTGAGCTTGGGAGTTACATGCTTTGCATTACACAGATTAACATCACAGTTCAAGAAATACGTCGGTAGTGCATTGTGGTGCTTTATTAGTGTTAGACATGCAATATTTAATGGACAGAAAATAAAATATTAAGATAACATTTTAATCAAATTAAAGGAGTTGAAGTTGCACTAATGAAACAAAAATAAAGTTTTTCATGCATTCTAAGTTTATACTTCTCACATGTGCATACAGCTGTGATTCTGTACCATTATTAAATGTAGACAAACTACCATTGATTGCACAAGACGAAATCAACCCTTAAGTTGTAAGTAATGTTCGTATCTTTTACAGGCTTCCTATATAACCTGGATCTTCAGCTTTTTATGGTACACTGTAATACAAGACATCTGGAAGCTTCTAAGATGAATAGGAATGGGTCTATCATTTGTAATATACAGTGGCTTCTTCAATGCACAAACTATGAAAGATAAAGCAAATGCCCACCATGCTGTAGGAGACTGTGACTTCTTCAACAGAAACAAATCTCAAAATCCTTCATTAACAGATTAAAGTGCTACCTATTGCATATTAAATACTTCCAGTGACTCTATCTACATTTAGAAGTTATAAATCCCTGAAAATAGGGTATCATACCGAAAGTGCTGACAGACCCTTAAATCTACCATCATCAACACAGCAGCACTATAATCCTTCACCATGGACTTCAAAGAGAGGAAGTTAGTCAACATGCTTTAAATATCAGCGTTTTAAAAGCCCACAGTTAACGCCTCTATCATATCTACAACAGTAATGGATGCATAAAGAGCAAAAAAGCATGAGCTTACTTGACATAGGACAATAATTTTTCTTTAAAGCTGGAAGTGTAAATCAACATCCAGTGCAGCAATAAACATATTAAGACAGCAGTTCCATTTAAGATGCATCTATGAAAGGGCATCCTGTACAGAAAGAAATGCAGCCTAGCACCTAATGAACATGATTTTCATTAGGTCCCCGAATCATGAAACCTTTCTAAATGCAAGGCAACATTTTCACAGCTGGAAAATTACAAATAGATCTTGATACAGAGCCAACAGCAATAAATGTAGTTATGTATAATCTAGGGAGAATGCTACATTCATTAGTAGGTGGAAAACCAAGCTAAACATAATATACAGCAGCAAGAGGTAACACATGTAAATATTAAACATCCTTCTTGAATGGCAGAAAGTTTCAATTTGTTACTTACAACATTACAGTATGGCCTTCATGTTTGTTCCTTAAAGTAAGTAAAACACATGGCTATGAGCAGAGACATTTAAAAGGATAATTTCAAATCTAGTGTGTGCATGGATGAAGTCTTACCCTAATTTTCGAGATAAAAAATCCAAATAATATGGACATGTCCAAAATTTTCATCCTTATATTTTCAAGGGCAAGAAAGACTGACTGTAAGTGGCAAGTTACTATGGTTTTAAAATGATCTGCAAGAAAGCTTAAAATTTTATCCTATGGGAGAAGCAGAACTTTATTTTCAACATATCAATTACTCTGTGTGAAATGTTTTCATCTGAAAGCTGTGTGGTTCAAAAAAATACATGTGGGGTGAAGCTGGTTTCCAAAAATAACCTCAAAATAGAGAAAAATGATAAAATTTTCTTTCTAAGCAGAAAATGAAGTGTGTAGAATCTTTCCAGAATTGCTCCAAAAGCAGCCTGTATCTTCAGCTAGAACTCTGTAATCTTTCATAGCTGCAAATGTCCCATTCTGCCTCTTGTAGGAACTCTACCTTTGCCTAAACTGTGTTTGCCATTCCCCCTTTCTTGACAAACTGCTAGAAACAAAAGGTGCTTTTATTCACATACAGATCAGATAAAGACTAGATAGCACATTCAAAGCTTCACTAAATTTCTTCACTAATGCACAAAAATTGATCTTTTCGCTACCTTTAATCTGCTTATCGTTGTTGGTATGCAAATATGTCAAATGATCTGCTCTCAGTCAATTATGCAGTTTGATATTCTACATTTACATTCTAAAAGGAGTCATTTCTGAGGTGCTAAATATAGTAGAGTTTCATTTTAATAATTATAGAGTTGGCTTGCAAGTGAAAAAGTCATTGGAGCGTATTCTCTGGTTAGTTTACTTGTTAAACCCCATTGGGGTGTGTGATTTAATCATTGTAGATACTACAGATGGTCTCATACCAGTGAGTTTGAAAATGACTGTGGAATTCAAAACAATTGTGCAACACTTCCCCACTAACAATACGAGAAAACCACTTGCTTTGGCCAAACATTTGAAAATGTTTAAGAATTTTTATGGAAATACTGAGTAACTGAAATACATCTTGGTGTAATTAGGAAATTGAAATCAAATAGAGCGCAAAACCTAACTTCCAACTGTAAACATACCATAACTTAGTACATAACCTTTGGCACTTCAAATATATTACAACAAATTTACAGTCATTTAGATCTTAAGTGGGTCAAAAGAACATTCAGGTGGCTTATGAGGTACCGAACTTGATAAATCCTTAGGCTGTCAAAAGAGAGGCTACCCAATGAAGTGGGCCCATTTCTGTCCTACAAACATCTAAATACAGAGCACTACAATTAGGTAGGCCTTGAATAACTCAGGCTCTATTCAGGCACAATAATCTATGCTAAGGGATCCCAATGGTGAGCTGGGAACACTCAGACTGCATAAATTTTAGGGACACAGGACTACAGGGATGGGAGGTAGCTGGTAAAATAAAGAAGAAAATATAAAGAAGAAAGAAAGAAGAAGAAAAAAAGCTAAAAATAAGTAAATGAAATCTGAGAACAATTCTATAAAGAATTCTTTCTTTTCTAAGAAGAATAAATTTGTACTGTCATACAATACCACCATCATCAAAAGCATCCAGGTGGAACTTTTAACTTTTCCAGATCATATATTGAAGACATTCCTAATTTGTGCAGTTTTAAAAATGACAAAGTATTTAGGTCTTTTACAAGAAAAAAACTGGGATTTCATTTCAAGCTTTTCCTCCTCAGTAACAGCCATTACATGGTGCTAGGAAAAAAACACAAAACAAAACCAGATCAAGTGTAGAAAAAGAGGAGGAGGAGGAGAAGACAATCAGTTTTCTTATATCTAATGCATTCTCTGTACATTTTTAATATCATCTTACTCTTTCACAGCGACAACTGAGGCTCTTAGGAAGAAAAATTAAAATTAAGACCTATTTATGTTAATATTGTGAGGAATTTTCTCCTGTGGTATTCTCCCATTATACATTCAGCATTATATTTTGCCAATTTATTGAATAACAGATACCTTTTTCATATGTTATTCTACAAACAATTATTAAATGATCAGGAAGACATTTACTACATTCTTCTTTCATTTGCCTCAATGAAAACTGACTTTTAGAAGTACTTACAAGGGATAGAGGGGTGTTTTTAAATGAAAAGCCTTTTCAGGTACTCTATACATGTTTAAGCAACATAGCCTATTTCTAAGGGCATATACTTCATTGTCATAAGATTAAAAAACCCAAGACAGATATATATCATGTTAAACTCAACCTTAAATTGAGTCAGTTCCATGGTTTTTGAATTATGTCTATTTAAGTCAGTCTGTTCATTTCTTCTACATTTTCACTGTAGCAGTCTTTAACTGAACAAAGTATTCATAACTTTATTTCATACTTTTTCTCCAGTTCTCCCTCCAACTCTATTAACACTGTTCAAAGTACTTTAACATATAAAAAGGCATGCAATAACTTCATATAAAAAGATCCTCAAAACAACTTTATGTCATGAGCTCACTACCAACGTTCAATCATTACACACAACATCCAGCATTTAAGTGTAAAATAACTGATTCCAGCATGTGCCATTACTGGAATGGCATGGTATATTTCACATTGTTATACAAAAAGCACATTGTATAGAATACAGCATTTAATCTGCAAAGATTGTGCATCACTGTTTTCCTCTAATACGTGTAGAACAAACTACATTCCATTGCAACAAACTGCACTTAGGTTTAGTAAAGCGTACTACACTGGCTTGAAAACAGCAGTCTTGATGGCATGCTGTAATATCAGAATTGATATATTTGCATAATACCAAGAATCACTCAAGAAAACATTCATAACAGACAGGCTTCCCAGTTGAAACTGCCACATGGTGAACACTAAGCCACTATATAAACTGCATGGACATATTTAAGTTGTATTATTAACTCCACCGTGAGCATTCTGTACCTAAAGGTGTTTTCATCAAAAATAATAATAATAAAAAAAAAAGTTAGTTAGGTCATGTAACAGAATATTACTTTTGGCAGGCCCTGCTAGTGTTTAGAGTAAAAAAGAAACCAAAGAAACCCACGCCATAGTCCCGTCCTCCCCTGATTCCTGGAATTTCTTAGGAGAAAACGAATGAAGAGAAGACAAAACGGTGAAGTGTGATTTCCTTCACGCAATGTATTCAGCAGAAAGTTCCATCAGGTCTCACTATCTTAGCTTTTGGAAAATTTGCCAGCTTTTCGGGAAGGTTCATATGGCACTCTGAGAATACTAGGTGTTTCTTCCATTACTCGTACAAGAAGATTATCAATGTAATCCTCAAGTTCACGAATATGGGTGTCCTTCTTCTTAAGTTGCTCTTTATGTTTCACCAGCTCCTGCAAAACCTCTTCGTAAGTAAGGTTACGGTATCCTGCAGTGGCGTCAAAAGGATTTCCATCCTAGAGATAAGTGTGAAAAAACACCAGGTTTTATTAAATAGTTCAGTGTTCTGAACAAATTCATGCTTTTCATATGTTTCTCATGTGCACCTCTTGACAGAAGCAACTTCTTGGCAACATACCTCCATTTGCTCTATAGCTTTCCCTCCAGTAACCCCACTGGAGCAGACAACTGGAGATAGCTTTCCCAGTTTGCAGTAAGGTTTCCCACACCATCATCTCAAAACCCCACTGTTTTATGCGGTGTATACACAGTTAATGACCGTTAAAGCAGTAACCACATAAACAGTAAGCAGGTCCATTTTGGGAAACCACTATGTAGTTAATTATAGAAGGACCAGAGAAAGAGCCTGGAGAATTCACATCCTGCTGTAACTTCCCTAAGTTCTCGCTTTTTGAGCGCATTATAGCAAAACTTAGTGCTAAAGGACATCAGCCCTCATCTGTCTTTCATACTCTATTTTCAGTCATCAGTGGTTCTCAACGACTTGGCCTCTGATTCATGTAATAAAACTTCCAATTTTAAACTTCAGGTGAAAACTAAAAGGCTGCATCTTATTTGCACCAGAGCACTTAAGACAGAAATGTGTACTACTAAAAGACCTTGCTTGCCTGCTTGCTTGCTTTAAATCAGGAGGGAACCAGAATCGAGCAGTAAGGAAAACAGGACTGTTTCTGTAATGAGTTCTGATGACTTGAAAGTGCAGGTATTAGCAGAGATGGACAAATCTGTGGCCTTAACAAAGGGCTAGATAAACTTGACTGTCTTATTCTGTGTTAAGAGAATTAGCTCTGACCTGAAATAACCATATTATGAAAAAATTGGAAACGTGTAACTGAGAAAAAAGTGGGGAGAGTCAAAGTAGCAGTGTTAGACACGCTAAGCAGTAAGTTTTATCTGATTCAGAAATGGAGACATTTAAAAGATATGGAATCTGTAATGAAGTAAAACTAATCTCACCTCTAAAATCCTGCTCCTCTAACAGGGCAGAAGAAGAACATAAGATAGCTTTTGTTTACAGTAGAAACTTGTCATTAAACATGATAAAGCTTTCACAGCTAGGAAGCACATCACATAATAAAGTCATATTCATTCCTTTTTCATGCTTCATTCCTCTTCTTTTCCATACAGTAGCTCCATATTTGCACATTGGCATATGTCGAATCATTAAAAAACACAGGTGGCCAAAGTTTTCAAATAAACCTAATTAAAAGTGATGGCGAACTGCAAATAGGCTGAAGTACGACAGATCAACCAGCCTCTCTCCATCACTCATATTCTAATAGTAGCTCTTCAATATCTGTGCTTTTAAGGGTTTCTCACTACGTTTGAGATACGCAATGTCACGTTTACGTATGTGTATTCAGTATCGTAAACTTACTAAGTTACAAGATTGCGATTAATAACTCCCACTTTATTAATATGGCTAATAATGAAATTTATAAATTGGTCAGTAATTGATTTCCAACAAGTACTGAAGAGAAAATAAATTCACTTTGTGGTCATTATATTTTTAATACATTTTCTTCTACAAGAAGGAAGCAGAATTGTCTCTTTATGGTATTAGATTTGTACACATTGGAAAAGACATCGTTAACACTTCCATGTCTAAACTATAGGGTTTGCCTCATTTGCTTACTTGGCAAAGAAACATAAATTAAGATACAGTGATGACTTTAATTACTATATAAAGTTTACTGTAAAATTGTGTGCACTCCATATGCTTTAAAGACGTTTTGCCATACCCACGCCCCAAATAGATCCTTAGGGGAAATAACCTATCACATTAATTACTCAAGAAAATTCGAGTTAAAGAATGTTAGTATCTAGAAATAAATATTGTTCAAATTAAGAAGAATTTAGATGGTCTGTTCAAGCAAGTAAGTGATACTTAAATGTGCAAGGAACATCTTTACAAAGCCAGATACTATGATTTTAATACAAAACATTAATCTTACAATGCATTATTAAGGAAAAAAGAAGTTTTTAAATAACAAATCTATGCAAAGAACGATTGTCTTAGCTACAAAATACTACAGGGGTACACACTGACAGCCAGAGGAAATGGAGTTGGATAAAACGAAGGCCTGGCAATCTCTGATCATCTCTTTATTGTTCTAATGAGGAATTCTGCTCTGGGAATATCATCTAAGCTACTTTCACATCTTTTGTCCTACTCATTTCATCTTCCTTTCAGTTCTTAATTAGGCCTTAAAGAGCTCACGCTGCCCTTTCAACTGGTTACTGCTCCCATTTAAACACTGCTTTCAGAGACAGGTGTTGGCACCAGAGTAGAAGACATACAAACATAATTACTAAATGTGATGCACAAGGAAGAAATATAACAACTTGGTGAGGGCTATTATTGCAGAACCTAATAATAAATGACTTCAAACACCTTAGAAAGGAATCTTGAATATTAAAAAAAATAATAATCAAATGGTTTCATTCAAAACTACGGTTGAGATATTGTTTCTTCTCCACCTAATTTGTATTTTGTATTAAATGAGCACCACCTCATAATCCTACAACTGACATTCAGGATAGTTGGTATTCCAAAGGAAAAATCATCAAGGATTTCTTTTATCACCTTTAAATCCTTTAAATAAAACAATTCACATCTTATTTCTTAAAAGAATTAAACCGATGCTTTTACCAGCAATAAATCACATGATGTGCAAGAACACATTTGCAAGCACATAGAAAGTGTAATTATGGTTACTTTACAGACAATAGCTGCTAAGTTAAATCAATTTTTTGATGTTGCTTTTTGTCAGAGATTAAGTAACTGCCTGGTAGAATTCAGTTTACTATCTGATCAAAGGCAGCCTTCATATACTCTGACATCTCCCACCACTTACTTACATTATAAAAACTCAGGCATTTACAATAACATCAAATGATATTACAAATCATTCACATAAACCAGCAAAAGCAAACAGTACAAAGCCATATTTGCTTGTGAAACTTGTTTTCTATATATTTGAAAGATTGAAAACAAACCTAGTTTTAAAGATTTCATCTATTCATGGAACGAATCCTAGTAAAACCACATTTTCCTTCGAACAAAGACACTACACGGGAAATCTGTGGATTTTTCCGGTCTTAGTACAGATTATTTTCTGGGTACTTTTAGAGTCAAAAGAGTATTCTGAATAATAACGTCTTGTATTTCTATTTGTAGTGTTTTCTGAGAGGCTGTTAATCAATCATTTGTATTATTAATCCCATCATGTATCAGTTCATTGCATCCATTTTGATTTGCCTTCTAAAGACTGTCCTCAAGTCTCTGACTACAGTGATAGGAATATCCTGTTATGATAATTAATACACCACTGCCAAATGCAGAGTTCCTGACCATTATTTCTCCAGAGTCACCTGAAATACCCCAAAGCAACGGTCTTCTTCTTACTTTCTGTGCAAAGATCTGATATTCCCCTTCTCTACATCATCACACCAGAAGTACAATGCATATTGACTGTAAAACTCTTCTTTATTTCCAAATTTGTATTAAGCTTATTATTTTCTAATTAGATTTTCTGGATATGTCAAAAGAAAACCAAGAACCCTAACATGTCCTTGTAAGAGGCTAAACAAGAACTGTCAAGCACCAATTAGTTGGCATTTACTGATGGCTTTCCATAACGTTTCAGAAACTCACCACTGTTTTCCTGAGGTCCTCAATGCCAGAAGGATTCACATTAAAACTGTGGGAAAAAAAACAAAACTGCAAATATTAGCATTGCATGCTTATCAGGCCAAAGCATTGACTAGAAGACACTGCTCAATTCAGCATATAGCTATAAAATATTTAATACGATCTGTTTTCTTGATTTGTTGAACTTAGGAAAAACAGGAAAATACTCAGAAATCATGGAAATTTTAATATATTCTTTGTTGACAATTTTGGTTTTTTTTCATATTCTTTTTGCAATAAAATTCGAATAATTAAGAAAGACAGGAAAGGATATTACGGATTGTGCTTCTCTATTTCTTCTCTTCTCTCTAGACTTACCTTGAGCTTCTAAGCAGAACGTGATACTGTAAATGAATGTTCTGGAAACAGGTCCCTGGGATGAGACTTAAAAAACCAACAAAATCCTGCACACTAACATGTATTCACAGCTGTCATAGCAGCTGCTAGAGGTGAAAGGTCCTTTAGAAATTCCAATGAGATCACCAGTTTAAATCAGAGCTGAAAAGCCGTTTTCTGCAGCAACATTTGTTTCATACTTAAAATTAAGTAAATAATGTATTATTTTATAAACATGGTGATTTTCTCACATATCCAAATAGCAAAGCTATTTCATGTTGTTGTTGTGTTCAGATTCTTTTCTTCCTCAGCTACAAAAGTGCAGTTGATATTGATCAAGGCAGCACTGTCTCAGTGTCAGGCCTATAAAACGGTCCACTTGTCTCTCAGGTTGGTATAACTATTAGCAAATACCTTCAAAAATCAGTGCCTCTATATTCTCATGTGCTTGATATAGCAAGATTGGGAAGAAAAGTAACCCTCTGAAAATTTGGGTCTGGCTCACAAATACTATGTCCTCAGTAGCATCATTGCAAACGTCATTCTGTCACCTCACAGAATCTACTATTCAGCTTAGATTGCATGTACTGCCCGTCAAGGGTGACGTCTGTTGACTGAGAATAATGCAAAGAAATACAAATATATGTCTATCCTTTTAAAATTTATTTTAAAGGTAGCTTCAAGTAAAGAACAAGCATTTTATGACTGCTCATCACTGTTATCTGAATTTATAAGCCATATATATGTAAGTCATATACATAGGGTGTAAAAGTGGAAGTGATACAATTTATAAATGTAAATTAGGTAAAATGAATACCCCAATTTTTTCTGTTTTTAAAAAAATGTTGTTTACATTGTAATTAATTTTTTTACTTTATTTTTTTTTATCTAGTTCATTTCCATTTATCTATTTCTATCTATTTCATTTCCAAAGCAGGTAGCCTTTTGCTCATAGAGGAGTCCCATGAACCATCTGCCAGCTGGACTGAAGATATTAAATAAAGTCTGGGTTACACAAACAGTCACAACTAAAAATCAAGAGGTGTCTGAATTAAGTTCTGGCTAATTCCCATTATACCTGTTTGTAACAGTGATCTGCAGCAGTTTGCTGGAGACCAGTTTTGAATGAGGGGCCTCTTTCATCGGGTATTGTCTAAAAAGCTAAAGGCAGGAACCCTCCCCCCCCCAGCCCGCCTTTTAGTTTCACACTGATGTGTCAAACACATGATGAACTTGCTTCATTCATGGCTGCCTTTCGTGATCCGAGTACAAAAAAAAATGGGTTAACTGAACTGGATCGAATTAGCTTGGTGAAAACCAAGAATGTCTCTATTTAACGAAGTGTGCCGTTAATTTGGGATATCTTTCTTTTGGGACTGTTTCCTCATGTTAGACAAGATATAGAATAATACAGCCTGACTGCTCAACTGAGTGACTGTCTGAAAGGTTAAAAAAGCAAGATCTTTCATTGCCCTGAATGACTTTATAGTTTCTGTGAACCAAGTTTGAGGACTCTTTTTCATAGCAGCAGCTTAAAAGAAAAGCAGAAGTTCTGACTACATAAAGTTAAGTTTGAAAATTAGAAATATAAATCACTAGCAATACAGACTTTTTTTTTCTTTTAGCTAAAAAAAAAACCTGCAATCATTTCCATAATACTGCAGACATTGTAACTGCAATTACAATAGAGCACATCTGCTTATTTTACATGAAGCTATTCAAATACACTTACAAAAAATGAAAAACTATTAAACAAAATATTCCCCCAATAAAAACCTAAACCCCATGAACGGTCTTACTCATATTCTGAAGTGATATGTGGAAATATACTGTATCTCAAGGACAAAACAGGTGCTGAGATTGCATATAACATTTTTCACATCAGACTGTCTGCTAAGCAAAGTGGGAGCTTGGTGGCCTCACTGAGCCCCGCAGGGTTTCCTGCCAGCGCTTCCAGCCCAAGGCGAGCCTGAGCAGATGCAGGCTCTCACTGCTGTACCTATAATTCACTGTCGAGAACCATGTAATACCTCTAAAGAAAATACTGTACAATTATCAATACATACAGTTGGGGGAGTCACATGTTTGGTGTATTGAAATTCATGACAGCATTTGTTCTTCAGTTTAAATTTCCTCCCAATAACACATGCCTAAAGTTACCATCTCGTTTGATTACTGGTAATAGCTTACAGAAAACACACCTCTAGGGCTACATCCCACACGCTGTACAACCATCATAAGCCTCCTTCGAGCAGCCATTTTTTTGACATCCTAAGAGCATTCTGAAATCACTGATCTCAGGGATTATAAAAAATAATGTCATTTTTTACTGTGTTCTAATCAAATCACAGTTCATAGTGATAGTTACAGTCCCATCTCTGCTTCTTCCCCAGGGTTTGATAAATTGGCAAGCAACTTTCGCTATGGAAGCATGAAATTCTATGTTCATAGCTTGGGAAAAAGTTTCTTTTTGCTTTGGGTTCTTTTGTTTTGAGCTTACTGTGAATAGCGACTGTAAAAACCTGACATTGTAAGATTCTGTAATTACTGTTTCTCAATTATGTCCAAACTAAATTTGCTCAATTTACAAGTAAAAAAGATGTTTCTTTTCTAACAAATGCACTTTCTGCCAACTCACTCTGAAAACTACAGTCAGACTGGGTTTCTCTGACTCATTGTCTTTAACTGTGTATAACTTCTATGCATTGTTATAGCTGAGTCTAACAGCTCCTCACTGGTCATACCTTCCAACCTACACAAACTGGCTCTTTCTGCTCGCTGAAAAGAACTCATCTACCTTCTTGCTCCTGTGTTCTTCATCACCTCAAGGAATTAAGTCATTTTCTACCTCTTCCACTTACCCACACAGAGAAGGCCTCCTCTCCACCACTGTGGAGTCTCAAGTGCCTCAAGGTGATGACCCTGATATTGTGATGATTTTTAACACTTTGTCTCTTACAATTAATAAAATTTCACTCACTCCAAGCACCTTCAAGAAAGTTAGAAACTAGTAAAAGGGAGGTAAATCACACCAGCAGAGATTCAAAATCAACTACAGAGGTGGGACAGAGGCGCACACAGATGATGCTAAGCAAGCCACTCAACTTCTACATTGCCCCACTATAGGTAGAACAGACAATCTTCAATCTAGCACAACAGTTAATCATGAACTCAATTTCTTATCTGGGAATTCAATTAGTTTCCTCAACAATTATATCAGACAGGCATATTATAAATCTGATTCTATAGAGCATTTTGGATGTCTCATAATCATAGCAAACATATTTTATACTTGTTATTTTCCCTATTTAAATACATTAGAACTACTTACTTTACCTATTTAAATACATTAGAAAAGCTTTCTACCCCCCCCAACAGCTATTTTTTATAACGTAGCTACATTGCATGCTTACTATTTGCAGTTTGTATAGAAACTTCAATGCAGTGAAGCTGAGGATGTATCACAAGCTCAAGTTTACGACTGGAGCTTGTAATTCTGTCTTTGAAGTTTAATAGTAGTTAAAAATTAAAACATTAGGTCTAGTGGCTGCTTAAATATTTAGCTTCTCAATGCCTAGAGATTAAAACAACCTTTAAAATATCTTTCCCATAGCTGATTTAAACATTTAGTGCCTGAACCATTTACTCTGACAACATAATGAATGGGAATCAGACTCCTACATTATGCTGCATGGAAAGTGTATTTTCTTAATAGAACAAAAGCTTTTTACTTATCTTGTGTTATTCATATTAGTTATATGATCATTGTACTCCGTACTATTAGAAATTAAAACTAAGATATTTACATTAATCATTACTGTTCCAATTCCTGAAACCTTCCATTTTAACTTGCCATCATGTAAAATATCCATTATACAATAAGCTCAGTCTGAGCTTTCAGTTTCTTTAATATGGAATGTCTGTGTACAGGTAATTACAAATCTCTACCATGTTAATTTTCCATTGGAGTCAAAATATCCCTATTCCTACTTCTTGGTCTTTGGACTGATTCTTATTACAGTGCTTATGCTTTTCTCTTTGGATTCTCACAACACGTATCACAACTTTGAAATATTAGGATGCCATTTAAGTTATTACCAATGTACTAGAAAAACAAAAGAAACTAATAAAATCAGATAGAGTTAATGAAATTCAGAAACTTAGCTTTCCGTAGAATATTATTAGCCTGCTGTGCCTGGCAATGCAGACATCACTTTATACTCTGAGAAGGAATGACTATCATGTCTGGCAACTAAGCAAGTATGGAGTAAGCATATTACCATTTATTTCACAATCAGATTCTGGGGAACATCACTTAAGACACTTCACTTTATAAATTGTCCTGCTGTCAAGCCATGTTCTGTTGCCTTTTGGAGCTTGTGTAACCCCAGGAGGACACAAAAAGAGCATCAGGTTTTGTTGCTATCACTCCATTTTCTTATTACTATAAATTCTCATGCCAAGAGCTAAGAAACTGGACCAAACCCCCTGAACACTAAGAGACACTTTTCTTGCAAATAATTTATTCTCAAGCTACATACTCTTTAGCCAGACTCCTTTGGAAATAGTCTGTGAGTACAGTTCTGCTCTCTATGGAACCCTTTAAAGATGGCAAAAGGTTCCATGAGATAAAGAAGTTACAGTCTCAGAATACAGTGCTCAATAACGGTCCTG